GGGTTAGGGGCCTTATATAAAGAACTACCTCTAGTTTATTTTCCTTGGTTGTTTATGAATGAAAATATGAATTATATCGTGTTTAGATGTTCTTGAGATTGAGATCTCATTAATATCGTCCCACTCGTACGCTCTTCCCTATATTAGAGGGAAAGAGAACATTGATGATAGGCTCATACTCTTGTTTCAATAGAGTTGAGGCGTGTTGTTATGATCTCCAATTGAGCACTTAATTGAGCACATCCTTGCTTAATCTCCTCATCTCGGGTCGTTTGGGCTATCACATGAGAAAGATGAGGTTATTCGCTACAAGATAAAGTGTCCTCCCGAGGCTGACTCTCATATATATATATATATATATATATATATACTAGTATGGTACTCGTGCGATGTACGGGCTAGTTTTATTAAAATAAGAATTTAGATTTGGATGATTAGATTATTGTAAGAACGTAAAACGCATGTATTGGAATAAAACAAAATGTAATTTAGACATTATTAAACGCATCATTGCACACAACATTATTTGTTTGGTCATTTCGTACATCGTCTAATGCCACAAATTACACTAGGATTCTAGATAGGCTTAAATAAATCAATTAAATTATTCAGCAGGATATATATGCTATGATTTATACTGGTTTATGAAGAATGCATAGCCAAATACAACGGATATTGTAAAACGTCTTTCTTGATAATCTATAACTTTATTATTTTAAAATTGTAAATTACTTAATTTAAGGAAGGATAAAATTGTTTAAGTGTATACATCTATTTCAAGTTTGTATTATAGAAGATTAAACAAAACCCAAATTTTTAGGATGTTCCAATCCAATTTCATTTTGAATTTAAAATTATTATTACCTGACTCTATTTTATGTTTTAAAAAATACAAACTAAATAAAGTATTAGCCAAATGATAAGGGATTTTTAAATTTTAATTTTTAATTTGAAATTGAGCCCGATTTCAATAGAATACAATTTTTTTTTTCAATAAACATGATCCGTTGCAATTAGGTAAAGATACATGTTATATTATTTTGCCTAATTCGAAATTCTCGATTTTAAGGTAAACAATTTTTTTTTTTCATATAAAAAAAGAAAATTTTGACTTTTACAAAATTGTCATGCCGAATTTTACCTAAATTAACCCGATTTCTATGAAATCTATTTTTTTAATAAACAATTAATCTGTTGCAATTAGAGAAAAGATAGTATTTTGCCTAATTCGAAATTTCTGATTTTATGATAATTATTATTTTTTATATATAAAGAATGAGAAAGAATTTAGACTTTTGCAAATTTTTATACATGAATCTAAATTTACCTAAATTAAATTCACAAAACCCATTAATTTAGGGTATATATATAGCTCATTAATTTTTTGGGAATAATTTAAAAATAAAATTCAAAAATTGCCAAAAATAGAATACAATAAATGTTGGTTGATTTCTTATTTGTTACTATCTTTCGTAAATAGGTTTTCTCTTTATATATAAATAAATATTGGCAAGAAAGAGATTCTTAATTTGTGTGTAGATGCGCAGAACAATGTTGTAAAAGAATATGAAGGAATATTATTTAATCAATTAAAATATTTTTCTTTTTTTTTTTTTTTACTTTCCTAATCGAAAAATTTAAGTAATTGAGTAATTTATAACTATAAATAATTGACTATTCATTTATGTTCAAGTTAATATTGACCCGTAAGTTATGAATAATTACTTATTTGACTTTTAAATTGGGGACCTAAATTTGGACTAAACAATAAATTCTCTTATATATTATATATATATATATATATGAGAAGAGATCATATGAGAATGATCTCTAGTGAAAGAAATAAGAATGATTCTGTGCCATTAAATTCACCAAATCAATGGTTATGATCAAATCAAAATTAAACAAATAGTAATTAAATATGAGTCAGTATGGTAAATAATTAATAATTAGTGGACAAATAGATGAATTTCATCACTCACTAAGAGTAAACTAGTCATTGTACATTCATTAAATAATCAAACATTAACGTGGACCCCATCATTAACACTTCCCTTCTCCCATCTCACACACATAAACACACACAAACACAAATCTGATTTTCACGCACACACACACAGGTCACACACACACACGCACACACACACACGGCCACAGACGGCGACAGTCCAGCCCAAAGCCACTGCCTGCCGTCTCCGACCTCACCCAGCGCCGCCCCGACATCGCCAGTTCCAGCCACCCACTGCCGATCACCGGACGCCGGCCGTACACCACCCGCTGCCAATCCTCGTCCGTTGCCCAACCACCATGTTACACACCAGACCTCCGGTTCCCTCGAAGATCCCGTCGTCGTCCACATACAATGCAATCACTACCGCCGCCGGATGTCCACTCAGCTACAGTGGGTCTTGCCGGAAAATAACAGCCGCCACGGAAAATTTCGTCGAGAACGCCACTGCTATCGACAAAACTCTAGCCGGTGCTTAGAACGCACCACCTTCCAGAGAACCCTCGCCGATAACTCGTTACCGTCAGCCACCGCTTTATAGTGACGATGTCATGAAGCGGCTGAAGGCGGCGATGCGACGAGACGGCGACGGCGGTCCGGCGGCGGCTTCGTGTTGTGTGTGAATCGATGTCGTCGGTGTGCTGAAGGGGATGGACGGCCGAAAAGAAAAAATGTTCATGACAGAGGATGAATTCATTCATTCAATTTGTTGTAAAGTGAATTGCGGGGTTTCTTTTATGTAAATTAGATAAACTATAGGGCTAATTTGCAATTTGAAAAACTATAATTATAAATTGTATCTTACTGCTTGCAGCTTGCTTTGTTTTGCTTTATTTGAAGAATTGATGATAATATAATTGGTGGTTAATTATATAATTTATTAAAAATCTATTAAATATTATATAATTATATAATTTACTAAAGAATTGATGATAAAATAATTGGTGGTTAATTATTTAATATACTAAAAATCTTTAAAAAAAATTAAATCGTACCGACATATTTGTGTTTTTTTAATAGACAAAAAAAAAATGAAAAAGACAATTGAACTGAAATTTATTTTTTTTTTTGAGTTGAAATTTAAAATTTTCGATCCAAAAAAAAAAATAAAAATTAGTTTGGTCTATTTTTGGCTTGATATGTGCGATCTAATAGTCATTAATGTGCAATTCATATAACCTTAATGTGCAATTCAAATAACCGAAATAAATTACATCATTCATTCTAAAAAATGTTTAGTCTTTAATATTTTATATTTATTATTATATGTTAATATTTTATTACATAAATAGTATATATGTAACCAGAATATAATGTGCAATCTATCAGTTATTACTGTGCAATTCGTCCAACACTACGGTGCACAATGTCAGTCTATATTGTGCAGAAGGAACCGACCAAACTTTCGTTCTAAATCAAATCGAATAAATAAAGTACAAGCACACAAACACAAATGTGCATCTAGTATAACATTAATGTGCATTCTATTGTATGGTATTTTTTTGTACATTTAAATCTTAGGCAACTTTAATAATATGTATTTTAATTTACATTATTTTACAATGATTATATAACTCATGCAATTAAAATATATTTACTAATTTTGTGTTTTTTAATATTTTGTAATATTATCTGTTGAAAATAAATAATAGTATTTTTAAACAAATTTACTTAGAACGTAATAATGTGTATTTTGTCTGACGCTATAGTGCAACCTGACATTCACTAATGTGCTAATGATTATTAATATCGTGCATTAAGTTTGAGTTTTTTTTTTTTAATTTTATTTTTATGTTCAAATTAAAACTATTATGAACTAAAATACTTTTATTATTCAGATGGTTGCTCGCATAAACCCAAATTTATGGAATAGTTTAATATTTATTGTTATGAAAATATATTTTAGTATTTTAATATTTTTATATATTTTCTTTATTGTTTTCTTTTTGTTAAGAATGATATAATTTACATATGTATAAAGGAAAATATCAAAAATAATATTGTTTTATATATTTTATAATCATAATGTGCAATTGAAATACATACAAAAATATAGATAAAAAATAGTATTATCTTTCATAAAAAAAATATAAATAATAAAATGGTAATATATTTTCATATATTTCGGCATGTTATGTTATATTTAAAACTATTAAATTCGAAAAATAACCAACTAATATTATTTGATCGATTAGCACAATTACAGAGTTTTTAGTACGTGCAGCGTGTCGTTCTATATGGTGCAATATGTTGTGTTATAAGGTACACTATATTATTGTATAAAGTGCAACGTATTAATTTTGGTACATTACCATGCTTGTGTGTTTTTTAAATAGACAATGGATAATGTGCAACACATTATTCTATAAAATATGACATTCCGCTATGTAAAGTGCAGTAGCTAATTTTTAATTTTTCAGAAAATTATGTGTATAATTATAAGTCGCATTAACCTAAATAATTAAAATATCTTTTTATTTATTATTTTTATTATATAACATATTTATTATTATAAAAAATTATATTATTTTTATTCAACAATTTATTTATTATTTAATATATATGCATACCAAAGCATATGTTATCATCCGGTAATCTGAAATTACCAACCTCAAACTGCATTTCGGATGGATTATTACCAGCACCGACATGGTTCACAACCATCCCGGTTCGCCCACTAAACCGGCCTGATCATATAATAACCGAGGTGATCATCGAACCGAGGTCATTTCGAGCCAAGGTTACCTTAAACCGAAGTCCCCACGAACCGAGGTCACCATTCCCGAAGCTGGTGACAAGGCGCCTACGCGCCATCTCTACAAACCACAAGATCTTCCATCATTCGAGTGGGGCCCGCTGACAATATCGCCCATCAAAAGTATTTTTATGAAAAAGGAATTACACGAATCCCGATATGTATCTCAAAAAAGTTACTATAAGTAGCAATATCTGATACTTGTACAGGGGGACCCCCCAGAACCATTTACTTTACGAGAAACACGTAACGGCTCACTGCAGCTTTTCACCTCGGTTCACCTTGGACCGGGGCCATCGTTGGGTTTTGAATACCTGTTTAACGTCCAAATCACTTGAACTAAGTAACTAACAATATCCATAATCATTGTTAACAATCACATAACAACAGTTTGGCGCTAGAGGAAGGGCCTCATCCTTTGTTTGAGGTTAATCTTCAATCCTTTGCTTCTTAGCCACATCAACATGTCACATTCAGATCATCGCGGTCATACGTCGCGTGAAGGACACAGCCGTAGCAATCAGTCTGCCAGGCGTCCAACGACAATCCCCCACCTGCCTGATTATACCACTCTATTTCAAAATCCAGAATTCACGCGTGGGTTTGCCGCCTTGATGGCTCAAACTTCTCCCGGGATGTCAACGACGGCGCCGGGACAATCTATAATTCCTACTACCTCTGCAAACCCGAGAAATCCGTCTATCCGACGAGACGGCGGTGGAACTACTTCTCACGCCACGTCTCACCCTCGTAGTCGAACATTGCCTCCGCACCAAGAACGTGTAGTGCGGCATGCCGAGACAACGCGCACTCCTCCGGTGGTCCCTCATGAAGAAACTGTTGAAAGTCAATCGGGACAACCATGGCGTTCTCCACCACCCGCGCGGCCTCAGGCTCATTCCCATCCGGCTCGAACAGACCTCCGTCAGCAAATTGAAAGAAATCGGTCAGCTCGGCAAGAATCCATGGAATTAGAAGTATTACGGCGAAGAATCGTCGAGTTGGAAAGTCGGCAGAGGGCACAGGAAGATCCTCCACGACGAGCCTCCACTTCGGCGAATGTATATTTAGAAGCCGACTCCCCTTTAACACCCGAGCTCACCTCGGAGTCTGTACCGGGAAAAGTCAAAGTCCCTCAAATTGGATTATATGATGGAACGTCGGATCCAAACTCACACCTCGGTCATTATACATCATGGATGGATCTCCATGGGGCCTCGGACGCACTTCGGTGTCGCATGTTTTCTCTCACTCTGGGGCCTCGAGCTCAAAAATGGTACCACTCTTTGCCCCCTCATTCAATTTGAAAGTAGCAACAGTTGAGGTCGGCTTTCCGATCTCATTTCATTGGGGCCCAAGTTTGTTTGGTTCCGAAAGAGTCTCTTGCGAATGTAACTCAAAAAGATGATGAAAGTGTCAAGGATTATATTGCTCGATTTAATGACCGAGTTTAGAACATGGAGCCATGTCATCCCGAAACTCTGCTTGTTATGGCTAATGAGGGACTAAAACCAAATTCTGTTTTTCGCTGGACATTATGCCAGAACAAGCCAAACACCTTCCAGGAATTCCTTGCCCGTGCCCAGCAACATATTATTGCCGAGGAAGCGATGTCGGTCCCCAATTTTAATTTCAATCCGAAGTCATCCAAGTCGGGAACCGACGACAGGAAGAAAAACAAATCCTTTGATAAGCAAAACAAGGCTCAATTTCGAGGTTACCCTCGGGGAGACGCCAACGACCCTGAAATCAGGGCGGCTCGGAAACAGTACGCTACCGACGTGAAATCCAGTTACCAAACTGTTTATTCAGCTGGGGCTGCCACCATCTATGAAGAGATCAAAGGAAAAGGTATCCTGGCCGATCCTAAACCACTTCGGATGCCTGAAGAAAAACTAGATAAATCTCGGTATTGTGACTATCATAAATCACCGGGGCACAACACCGATGAGTGTTTAAGCCTGTTAGCTGCCCTATTACGTTTAATCGGTCATCCGCAACTCAGGAAGTTATATCGCAACTCTGATACCCAGAAACAGGGGCCGAGACGTCAAATTGAACCCTATGATGAAGATGAGGATGAAGACCGAGGTGTTACGCCGAAATGAATCCGGCAAGGAGAGAAAGAAGTATTCATGTTCACCTCGGAAATGCTCAATGTTGAGTCAACCGGAAACTCCCGAGGACTTAAACGAAGTCGATCTTCTAGCCCGATGCAAATCACCGTTCATCGAGTAAATACTAATAATTCCTGAGGTACCTCATCCCGTCGACAAATCAAAGCCTATGCTCGGCAAGCTTACAATTCAGGCAAACATGTTTTTACCACCGATCTACGAGACGTTCTCAATGCCCGGAACTGCCCCATTAGTTTCAACATGGAAGATGCGAATCATTTTGCACACCCTCATTCCAATGCACTCGTCATCACCGTTCCAATATGTGGGATCCCGGTCCACCATGTCATGGTCGATATTGGGGCCTACTCAAACATTTTGATTCTAAAAGCCTTTGACAAAATGGGTCTTGATCCCGCCGACATCTGACCTTGCAACGACCAAATACAAGGGTTCAACGGGAGCATTTCACGACCTATTGGCGAGATTACTTTACCTGTCAGATTTGGTACAGCTGAACACTTCACAAAACTCGTCATGGAACCCTTTAAAGTTCTCGACATCAATAATGAATATAACGCAATCATTAGGAGGACTGCCTTATACAAGCTCCGAGCTGCTGTTTCCATTTTTCATTACGCACTTAAATTTCCGACTACCCGTGGACAAGGAACACATTATGGAGACCAAAGAGAAGATCGAGAACTCATCACCTTTATACCATCCACCGGAGTCCATTCCATTAATTCGGTCGACGAGAGAATTCCCCGCCTATTGATCACCTCGGACAACACCATTTTCGAGGAACCAAGTCCTGATCCTGATGTTCCCTTCACCTAAGATCCTTTAACCGAGGACCGAGGTAGGAGACCTGGAAAAGAACCATGTCAAGAAGAGGATGAATTGGACCCAAGAACTCAATTCAAAGAGAAAAGTCGAAATGATCGAGCCGAACCCGGAGAAGAAGTGGAGTTGATCAATATTGACGAACCAACATGTCAAAAACCACTACGCATTGGAAGTCACCTGCAAGAACCCCTTCGATCAGAACTCGTGCCATTTCTCAAGAATAATTCTGATGTCTTCGCCTGGAAACACGAGGATATGAAGGGAATTGATCCCGGTGTTGCCAGCCATAAACTGAATCTCGACCGAACTGTTAAACTGGTCGTCCAGAAATGTCGGAAATTAGGGCCAGATCGTCAGAAGGCTCTAGAAGGGGAAGTCAGAAAACTTGTGGACAACAAGTTCATTAAAGAAGCCAAATACCCGACTTGGGTATCTAATCCTGTTCTTGTAAAGAAAAGCAACGACCTATGGCGTCTGTGCATAGATTTCTCTGATTTGAATAAAGCATGTCCAAAAGACAGGTATCTGCTTCCTCATATTGATTACATGGTAGACGCCACCTCGGGACACGAGTTAATGAGTTTTATGGATGCTTATTCCAGTTATAATCAAATTTCCATGGATCCCGAGGACTCGGAGCACACCTCGTTCTATTCTGCCCGAGGCCTATATTGCTATACTATGATGCCCTTCGGATTAAAAAACACCGGGGCCACTTATCAGCGTCTCGTTAACAAGATGTTCGCCAATTTAATCGGTCATACCATGGAAGTCTACGTGGACGATATGCTCGTCAAGTCGGTGAACGCCTCCGACCACGTTACACATCTTCAAGAAATTTTCAACATTCTTCGGTCATACTCTATAGTATTAAATTCTAAAAAATGCACCTTTGGAGTCGAGTCTGGAAAGTTCCTCGGTTACATGGTTAGTCAACGGGGAATTGAAGCCAATCCGGCCAAGATCAAAGCAATTCAAGACTTAACTCCACCGACCTCGGTCAAGGATGTTCAGGCCCTAACTGGCCGACTCGCAGCACTTAATCGGTTCATCTCCAAGTCTACTGATCGGTGTAAACCATTCTTTGAGGCAATCAAGAAAGGAAAATGCTTTGAATGGACCGAAGAATGCCAAAAAGCACTCACCAGCATTATGGAGACTCTCACATCTCCTCCGACGTTACAAAAGCCAAATCCCGAGGAAATGCTGTTCTTGTACCCCGGAGTCAGTGGTACGACAATCAGTGCCGTCTTGATACGCGAGGAAGGAATGTTGCAATCACCTATTTATTATGTCAGCAAGGCCTTACATGAAGCCGAACTTCGTTATCCTCCTATGGAGAAACTGGCGTCTGCACTCGTTACTGCTGCCCGAAAATTACGTCCTTATTTTCAAGAACATTCCATTACTGTCCGCACTTCGTATCCCTTGCGACAAGTCTTACACCGACCTGACACGTCGGGGCGAATGATAAAATGGGCCGTAGAACTCGGACAGTACGACATTCATTATCAACCGAGAACTGCAATCAAGGCACAAGTCTTATCCGACTTTATTGCCGAGTTCACGCCGGCTGTGGAAGCTCACAACGACGACCAACCATGGGTCCTTTACATCGATGGATCCTCCACGGCAAACCGAGCAGGCGCGGGAATAGTCGTAGCCAATCTCGAAAACTGATTATTCTGCCATTCGGTTAAATTTCTTTTTCCCGCTACCAACAACGAGGCTGAATACGAAGCTTTGTTATCTGGACTAAGCCTAGCTGAGTCCATGAATATTAAGTATCTGAAAGTTTTCTCTGACTCACAGCTCTTGGTTAATCAAATCAACAGATCTTACGAAGTCAAGGAACCTCGGTTGACGCCATACCTATCCTTGACAAAACAAAAGTTGTCTAAATTTTCTGTCGAAGTCGAGCATATCCCTTGAACTCTCAACATACAAGCTGATGCCCTGTCCCGACTAGCTTCAAGCGCCGGGATAGATAGCGTGGAATATGTCCAAGTCGGCCAACAAGAACGACCATCTACCCATCCTCCTGAAATCTTGACCGTTGGTCCGACTATCTTCCAGAAACCTCCGACTTAGATGGATCCTATCATTCGATACTTGGACACAGGGACCTTACCTTCAGATCCCAAAAAAGCTCGCGCACTTCGGATTCGAGCTGCTCGGTACACTCTGGACAACGGAACCTTGTTCAAGAGAGGATATTCAGTCCCACTTTTAAAATGTTTAACCGAGTCCGAAGCACGATACATTCTTGAAGAGGTGCATGAAGGAGCTTGTGGAAGCCACCCCGGCGCCCAAGCTTGGTCCTACAAGATTCTGCGACAAGGATATTATTGGCCGACCTTAAAAGCAGACGCTGTTGCGTGGGTCCGTAAATGCTCGAAGTGCCAACTTTTTGCACCAAATGTTCATCAATTCCCTGAAGAGCTCAAGTCGGTTTACAGTCCGTGGCCATTTGCCAAATGGGGGATTGATCTTATCGGTCCCCTACCGACCGGAAAAGGCGGTGTTCGGTTTGCAATCGTCGTTGTTGACTACTTTACAAAATGGGCTAAAGCCGAACCACTAGCCACGATAACCGAACAAAAAGTTGTTGACTTTATATAGAAGTCCATCATTTGCCGCTTCGGAGTACCGAACTCAATTATCACTGACAACGGTCGACAATTCGAAGGCAAGCGACTTGAAACTCTGTGTGAAGAATACAATATCAAACACTTTTTCTCCTCGCCCTATCACCCACAATCGAACAGTCAAGTCGAAGCCGTCAACAAGCTGATTAAGAACGTTCTCAAAGTCCGTCTCGATGCCGCTAAAGGGGCCTGGCCGGAAGAACTGCCACACGTCCTATGGGCATATCGTACAACCCCAAGGACTTCCACAGGTGAAACTCCATTTTCATTAACGTACGGTTCAGAAGAAGTTGTCCCAGTTGAACTCGGCGAACCGACCTACCGAATTCAACATTATACCGAAGAGTCCAACTCGGATAATATAAAAGCAAACTTGGATTTGCTCGAAGAACATCGCACTTGTTCTGAACTCAAGAATGCCGCTTACAAACAAAGAAGCGAGAGATATATCAATTCCAAATCCAAACCCCGTTCATTCCGAGTTGGCGATCTAGTCCTCAAACGAATAATGGGGCCTGACCCTGGTCCACTTAAACCGAAGTGGGAAGGACCTTTCCATATCATTGAGGTCTTACCCCGCAGAGCATACTGGATTGCTCATCAATACCCGTGGAACGCAGTATTCCTAAAGAAGTTCTACCAATGAATGATCCGAAGTCGGATAGCCGACCTTCCTTTTGAACGGACCCTCTTTTTGCCTCTTTGAGGAAACGAAGCTTCTCTTTTGATGTAATGAAAGTTCAAAGACTTTCCCTTTTGAAATCCGAGCAATAGCTCGGTACCGATGTAAAAAATTTTAACACTCGGTTCTATCAATATGTTGTGCCGATGTAAACATTGCGACACTCGGTCTCGCTGATGCCTCGTAATACATCCAAATTCCACGTATGGTTTGGTTGGGGTTGAAGCTCGTCCACGTCACTTAAGCAAACATGATTTGATGGGTCCCGCTAATAACCGAATAGAAAATAAACAACTCGGTTGGGGCCACTTCATAATCGGACTCTGACGAGGTTCGGTGAACCCTATTTATCTTATGCACGGCTCGGAATGTGTTAAGTTCTGCAAATTCTTAATAAGTTTGCATACCGACTTACACTAGTAGCCGAATTCATTAAAAAAGATCAATGTGGAACTCGGAATTCATTTTTATAAAAAGCCCACAACTCGGTTATAAATATGAATAAATCCGAGTTGGAAGACCAGTCTTATATTTGCACCGAGCTCGTTACACTTGGTCTAAAAATTGCTGATTTTGCACAGCAAAGTAGACAGAATTGAAATCATGCAAACACACTGAATTCATATTATAAAGTCGGGAGATTCCAAAATACATACTTCCTACTAAGGATGTCAACACTTTGACACCCCGACTATTTACTCCAAAAAATAAAACATAAAAATATAAAAACATAAAGTTTCAAAAAAACTCTACACAACATTATCCTTGTCTTCTTCCTCCCGACCAACGCCACTGCCTTCTCCGACCTCCATCTCGATGGACAATTGTTTCTGGAGTCGCTCCAAAACGGCAATCTCATTCGCTTTGGCCGCAGCATCAATGGCCGCATCCGACACCAGAACGAACTCGTTCCGAGGATCGTGAATGTCCGATGGATTTCTCTCCACCGATGGAACAACCTCAATTATTTCGACCTCTCTGTCCGTAGACTTAGCCTTCTCCTCAATATAAGCCTTCACAGTGTTTCGAATTTGTTCGGGAGTCATATCATCGAAGTTCTGTTCAATTTCCACATCGGCCAAGGTCGTGACATAAATGTCTGCCAGCTCTTCTCTCTTCTCCTTCTCTCCTTCAAGAATCATATTAACATAAGCCCGACAGAGAAGAGCTGCCCTTTCTTCAGAAAGAGGAGGTAAGTTTGGATTTGCTGTCATCTCTTCGGCCCGACGGAGCATCCATTCGCAAAACTCCTTTTCGTCTTCATCGGCCCCAATGTGCATTCCCTTGATCTCCGGATCAAAATTATATTTGTCAAGCTTAAGGAAGAGAAAATGTCGGAGTTCGTCGGTGTCATAAAGGCTGTTATCAAACTGCTCGATTACCTAGCGAAGGTTGACGCATGTGTTTATTTCCATTTCAAGATCGGGTCCCACGCCACCTTCCTCTGTGATCTTCGCTGCGGCCTCGGTATCCTTTTCCCTGAGTTGATCTTCATCCACCGCAATTGAATCCTTTCCAGCCTGGAAGCCAATTTCATACATAGACTCGCCGTATAATGACTTCTCTTTCTCACGTTTGGCCATCTCGGCCTGATATGCATCCCGTTGCCGACCCACAAGTTCCTGGACTTCGGTACACTCTTTACGAGTCTTATCATGCTCAGCTTTCTCCTTCAATAGCTTCTCCTCTACTTCCTCGACCTTGGCTTCCAACGCCTTAGAATGCTGTTCGGCAAAGGCAAGACGCGCTTTAAGTTCCTCTACCTCAGTTTGGAGAGACCTTTTCTCTTCGGATAACGCGACCACCTCGTTCTGTGTCACCAAAAGTTGAGAATCCCGATCAGCAATCTCCTTCTTCAAATCGGCCTCCAACTTCTCCGTCTCTTCCTTCAAAGATGCGATCGTCCCATCCCGCAAAGCTATGGTGTGTCTCTTTCCCTCCAGTTGCGCGACAATCCTACTATGATCGTCTTCGGCAGCCACCAAACTCATTAAGGCTCGACCCAAACAAGCCTTAGCGTAGCTTAACTTGTCCACAATAGACAAAGAAGAGACCCCCACTTCGGATTTGGGGTCCCATACCATTAACGGTACACGAGCCACACTATTTGCACTTTTCGGCATCTCGATCCTCGACGACATGTGAGGAGATTTGACTGATTGAAAAGTAGTAAACCACTGCTCAACCACCCCTTGGGACACCTTTACATTCGCAGCCCTATCCTCATCAATCGATAAAAACGACTTCTCAAACAACGGAGACTCGTCAACGCTCTTTCCCGAGTCCCGGCGACCGGAGTCATGCTTTTTCTTTGATCTTTTCTCAGCTCCAGAAGAAGCCTCTACAGCAGACATTTTTACCAGTTTTCGTTTTTTCTTTTTCTCCGATTGTACAATCTCTAATGACTTCGGAAGGGACGACTGTTTTTCTGGCTCTTCTAACGGCACCTCGGTGCGCACTTGCTCAGCCACAACCAACTCAGTTGTCATCAAGTTTTCTTCTGGCTCGGCCTGATTAATCGTCGGAGCATTCACAACTGGCGGCACCTCGGCAGAAACCACCTCTTGCTGAGACTTCGGACTTTCTGAGTCTACTACCGACGTCGCACCAGCTCCAACGTCGGCAGATTTCTTACCAGTAGTATTTCTGCCAGAAGTCCTCTTCACCAAAGCTCGGACCAAGTCTCTCCTCATAGCGTCAGTTAATCTTAAGTTCACGACTCTTGCCAAATTTTGATTGAAGATCCTTGTTCGGGTAACGACGCCTGAAATCTTTGGCGTCCTTGACAGTTTGGAATCCGGTGAATCCCAATAATGGATAGTACACTACACAAAGACGTACAACAGAAGGGTCAACAATAATCATTTCGTGTATATCGAAACGCTAATAAGCGACATAACATTAAATTTCTCTTACCGGGCTCAAATTCAGATGTAGAGACCCCAGGAGATAAACCAGCAGCTTCAAGTGTTGAATCTACCACAAGTTTCCGGTAATCTCGGATGTCTTTATCAAGGTCGGCAAGTACTAGCAATTTCCCACCAAATTCCGGACTGAGCTTCGGCTCCTTCTTCTTCATCTCTTTCTCTACAAATGGAAAAGTTCCAAACTGTTAGTACACAAAACAAAACCGATATCAGGAAAATACTCAAAAGCCAAAAACTAAAGACTTACTATTTCCCGAGTGAATATTCATTGGAATTGTCTTCCAATCAATTCGGGGTTCATGGAAAAAGCTTTCTGACTGCCATGCCCTACCGACCCACAGCCATTCTTCCTGAAAACCGTGGAGGGTTTCCGGGATGTCAGTTATTATTTCACCGACTTGA